GGGCCCGCCACAGTACTGAATCTGCATTAATGAAGGTCCATAACGATATCACTATGGCCCTCCATGCAAAGTGCCCTGTCATTTTAGCCCTCTTAGACCTCTCTACGGCCTTCAACACCGTCGACCATACAGTTCTTCTCTTCCATCTGGAATATTACATCGGCCTCAGAGGCACGGTGTTACAGTGGTTTACGTTTTTTTTTGACGAATAGATCCTTCTCGGTAGTTATTTTCCTCTGCCTCTGCCCCTCTTTCTTCTGGTGTTCCCCAAGGCTCGATTGTGGCTCCACTACCGTTTTCTTTATATATGTCTCCTCTCGGCTCAATCATATCAAGACACAGCATCCACTTTCATTTTTATGCAGATGATGTTCAGGTCTATTTACCACTGGTGCAGCGTGATTCGAATGCTCTAACCCCTTTGTACAATTGCTTTTGTGATGTTAAGCATTGGCTATCTCAGAACTTTCTCCATCTAAATGAAAGCAAGAGACATTGTTTTTAGCCTCGATTCCTTCGCTGTTGTACCTCATCTAGGGCCCTCGGTCCCATCACTTACAGGTACTGTCAAAAACTTAGGAGTGTTGTTTGACAGCAGCCTTAAATTCGACAAACAGGTCAGATCTGTGGTCAAAACCAGCTTCTTTCACCCGAGGCTTTTAACTAAAGTGAAGCCCTTTCTGTCACATGTTGATTTAGGAAAAGCCATTCACGCTTTTATTTCTTTGCAACTCGATTATTGTAATGGCCTTTATATCAGAATTAACCAGTCTCTTCTTCGGAAGCTACAGCTGGTACAGAAGGCTGCGTCTCGTCTACTCTCAAATGCCCCCAAATATTCTCACATCACTCCTGTTCTTTACTTGCTGCACTGGCTGCCAGAGAAGTCCAAAATTGATTTTAAGGTGCTATTACTTGTATTCAAATTTATTAATGGCCTCGCTCCACTATATTTGTCCAATCTGCTGTCCATTCGCACTCCTCTTAGGGCTCTGTGTTCCTCGCAACAGGTGTCCCTGGTCGTCCCACGAACAAAATACAAAAAATGGGGCAAACGTGCATTTGACGTTTATGACCCCAGGCTCCTGAACTCTCTACCGCTGGAGTTACAGTCCATAACTGAGGTATCGTTTTTTAAGTCTAAACTAAAAACTTATCTTTTTAGACAGGCTTTTTGTGGTTAATTTGCTTCAGTGGCATCATGTTGATGTCTTTTAGCTTGCTGTTTTATATTTATATTGGATATGGAAGCCTAATCATTACCTTTCAATTTATTTATTTTTTTTGTGTGGTTTTAGTTTCTCTTGTTTTGCTCTTAT